ATATTATAGTAATTTCAGAGGATTTTAGCGTACATGCACCACGCCAACACCTTTTCGTTACTTCATTTAAAATTATATTATTATAAAATATGATAATCTTTGAATTCAAATAAAAGTGTATTCATTTGGAATGAAACAATAAGTAMAATTTTTGTATTTCTATACATTTTTGTACTATAGAACTATAGCCAATCGACATTCGAATATACTGATATCGACTGACTGATTTATGGCGTCACGGTACGACGAACTTTGATTTGCGGATGACGTAACAATATAACAAAAAAACGGAAACGAAATACAAAAACATTACCGTAGTGTATAACTCGATAGACTCCCAAAAAAAAAAAAATGCCTCGTTCTTGGTCACAAAAACACCGTCTATGAACGCACTGCGCAAATGAATTCCGCACTATACCTCTATTGTATAGGAAACAAGGAAATCGAGTCGCCGAACGAGTACCACGATGTTGGCGACGCACAAAAGAAAAAAATAATGTATAATAAACTAGAAAAAACGTGCGATTCGTGTACGGGGGAAAAAAATGTATTAAATTGAGAGCGGAAGAAAATCGATTTAAAACTTATGTCTCCAATTGGCCTCAGTGAGATTTGCAGGAAAATGGAAAATGAAATATTAATAATTTYATGCATTTGAACGGAAATCGCAACGGTGCAGGTGTTGCAGTATAGATTGCGCGCAAAACTAGCTGGACCGAAAGAACCACAAAACACTCCAAACAAACGCAAACACAACTGTTTAAATATTTAATTAAAATTAATATTAAAACTCTTATAAGATATTTACATAAATCAACTTCATGGTAAATTGGTAATCTTTAACTCTAATAAAAATTTAAAAAAAAAAATCCAAAACACCAATTTTAATATACAATTTTTAGGACGATAGTTATTTTTGATTTGAGTTCGGGAAAAYAAAATAAAAATATTATACATTTTAATAATATTATGATTCTCTAGTGTAAAATAATAATTGACCAAAACCGTCCAAAAAAATATTAACATGATATTATTATAAATAATTTTAATAAATAGTTTTGATCAACGAATAATATTTTCCTCCTTATTCTCTGTRTTAAGGCCATAAAAAAAAAGTTTTAAAATCAATTTCTTTTTCGATGTTCCCTAGGTTGATTTCATTTTTCTATTTTATTATTAAACCRTTTTGTTTTGTATTATAGCGATTTACAAATAAATTTACAAAGCGCGTGTATTACATTTCAAATAATATTTTGCTCAATCGATTCAAAAAATAAATAAAAACGAACGACCTACCGACCGACGAGGGCAAAGCCTAATTGCGTTTCTCTTATAAATCGATTTGTGCAGTAAAATGTATTAAATAAGTATTTAATTTATATACAGAATGATTTTCCAAGCATAGTTTTTTTTTTCATCAATCAGAATTTAAATAAAAATTTAAGTTGACATGTTCGGTGAATCTCCCCGAAATATATCTTCATTTTATATTAGAAAATATAGAAATCCTTACTTGTCGTCGAAATAGAATCCTCCGCAATGTGACATTCTAATAATTTCTGTATCTGTGGTCAAGGTGCCGCTGTCCAATGCACATCCTCTAACTGTAACGTGCTGCCCGGTAGTTTCTAAAAATAAAAATAATAACATAATTATAATTYACTATTATAATATTTAGGAATGTGTAATATATAGTGCATATACCCAGAAAAAGGCAGACACAATTCAAAATATTATAATATGGTTTATAGAAACGGATATGCAAAGTTCTTAAGTGAATGCCAAAAACGAGAGTGGAAATGGCTGTAGAAAACGATAAGGCACCGAGAAAGTTTGTGATTTGACGTTGACTGAGTACAATCTATATATTATAGTTAGTG